GCGATTGCGCTAATCCAGATTGGCGACATTGAGTCTTGACCGCCCGGCGGATTTTGCCAATACCAGTGATGAAATTCTTCTGAAATCTTATCGTACGTACCTTAGGTATCTAGGTACTTGCACCTACAGTCTGAGCTTTTTCAGGTCAGAACGGGCATTGATTAATCATTTTGCCAACCTTCTCATTCCTAACTTTGCGGTCCTCTTCCATACGGCTCAAGCTCTCCTTCAGTGAAGTTCACCAGCATTTGCAAATATAATTGAGAGTCCTCGTCTTTTCTTCCCCCAATTCCGACTTGAGACAGTTTCCACTGCATAATGTGGTCGCAACTTAGCTGCAAACCCGCAGCTTACTGAACTACCTACCCACCTACCTTAACTATGGTGTTCGTACTGCTCAGACCACTGCCATTCAGAGCGCGAGTCCTCCATCGCGGTGCTTTGACTGCACTTACACGCATAAATGCCCCGCATTGCGCCACAAAAGGCTTAGCGCGCTTCAGCAGCTCGCCCGCTACGCAACCGCAGCTGGATAACTATCGCAGCTCGCCGAAATTTCGCAAAAGTCCCCCACTTCCCTCCCCAAACTTTGCACGCTTCTTCAGCACCACGGCCTCAAGAATGGAAACCCCCGCGTCGGAACCCGTCAATCAGCCAGCCAGGGACCTCGAGATGCCTGACGCAAGGTCACAAGAAGTTGCCGTCCCTTCCACGACCAACAATGGCGACGGCGCAGCGGCAGCGGCAGTAGCAGCAGCACCGAACCCTACGGCGACGACAACGACGACAACAACAGGAACAAGCATCAGTGATTTTACCCAAAAAGACGCCCCCGAAGCCTCCGAGGAAAAGGAAGGCGAAGAAGCCGATGTCGAATCCTCCGCTGCCGGACCCGGCTCCGCCGACGCCGAGGGAGAGCCGAAAATCTCCAAAAACCAGCTCCGCAAGATGAAGCGCAAGGCAGCGTGGGAGGACGGCCGCGAGGACCGCAAGCGCAAGCGAAAGGAGAAGCGCCACGACCGCCAGGTCGCCCGGCGCGAGCAGATCGCTGCCGCTCTCGCCGAGGCCGAGGCCAAGGGCGTCGATCCGGCCTCCGTCACGATCCCCCCAAAGCGCAAGACGCCCAAGCAGCCCTCGGTCCAGGTCCCCGTCACCCTGATCCTCGACTGCGACTTCGAGAAGTACATGCTCGAGAAGGAGCTCGTCTCCCTCGCGAGCCAGATCACCCGCTCCTACTCGGACAACCGCGCCGCGAGGTACCGCGCGCACCTGTACGTCAGCTCGTACGGCGGCCAGCTGAAGGAACGCTTCGAGACGACGCTGGGGAGCCAGCACGTGCACTGGAAGGGCGTGACGCATGTCGAAGAGGACTTTGTCGAGGCATCCAAGGCCGCGGACGAGCTGATGAAGGGGCCCCGCGGTGGGCAGGTCATTGACCTGCTGAAGCCCACCGCGGAGGACGGGACGGCCAAGAAGCCCGCCATCTTCATGGACACTGTCAGCTCGGCGCCCACCCCGGACCCCGAACCCGAACCCGCCGAAGAGCTCAAGAACATCGTCTACCTCTCCTCCGACTCGGTCAACACCCTCGACCGGCTCGAGCCCAACACGAGCTACGTCATCGGTGGCCTCGTCGACCGTAACCGCGAAAAGGGGTTGTGCCACCGCCGCGCGAGGGAGATGGGCATCCGGACGGCGAAGCTACCTATCGGCGAGTACATGAACCTCTCGAGCCGGAGAGTGCTCGCGACGAACCATGTTGTCGAGATTATGCTCAAGTGGCTCGAGACAGGCAGCTGGGCGGAGGCGTTCCTGAGCGTCATCCCCAAACGGAAGGAGGCCAAGCTCAAGGAGCAGGGCGGGGCTGGCAGCACCAACGGAACCCCCGCCGCAGAAGGCGCGGATGGCAAGATCGAGGATAGCAGGTTTGACGACGAGGAGGACGAGGACGTGGATGAGAAGCAGACCATCACGGAAAACGTGGCAGCACCTGAACCATCAGCTGGGGCTCAAGAAAGCGCAACGGGGAAGGTGAGTGCTTCATAGCCCGGCGTGGCAGGCGATTGAAAGTAATAGAAATACCCCCTCACCGTCGTTGCTGTTCCAAAAGAGAGAAAAAAAGAAGTAATAGCAGGAAAACACCGACCCAGTAACCAGATTATCCCTTCATGCAAGTCGTCTCGATTTGTGTGGTTTTTTTTTTTTCTCCTCAAAACTCCATGGTATCCTCCTCCCTCTCCCTCTTGACCTTGCTGTCCCTCTCGTCCTTCATCAACCCAATGACGAAGGACCGGAACTGCTCCACGTAAGGCTTCAGGCTCGTCTTCTCCCAATCCTGCAGGCTCTTCTGCTGCGACCCGCCCTCGGCGTCCTCCTCGCCCTTCCACGCGTCTATCTCGGCAAGCAGGCTCTGCACCGTTGGCACACCCAGCGGGTCAAAGTCTTCGAGGTTCTTGGTGTTGATCGGCACGCACACGCGGCCGGTGCCAGGGTGGACGACGAAGGGCGACTTGAGCAAGTGGTTGAGCTTCTTGCTGACCTCGATATCGAGGCGCGGGTACGTGTACTCGAGCACGATGTCCTGCTTGGCCTCGAGCAGCGCCTTGGCGTCGAGGTTCTTGCTCGCGCCGCTCTTGGCCACGGTGTCGATATCGGCCCACTTGGAGACGGACGACCGCCCCGGCGCGGCGTCCCACTTCTTGCGTAGCGACTCGTTGAGGTTCTTGTCCGGGAGGAGCTGGAGGAGGCGCTCGGCGCGCTCGTTGGAGGCCCAGGGGTCTTGCGCCTCGAGGACGTCTTCTTGGAAGTGGGATTTCAAAGTCTCTAGGCTCCGTCTGCACGCGGCCGTCAGTAACTTTAAAAATCCTCAGACCGTGACCGGAAGTGACTTACGAAAGGTGAGGGTGCAGCGGCCGCCACAAGTTCACCTTCTTCCCGCTCTGCGCACCGCCCTTGATGACCTCCAAGTACCCCGCGATCGACCGACGCATCTGGTCGCCCATTGTCCGCGCCTTCTTGTCGCACACCCACGCGTGGGCACCTCTCCGACCGGAGTAGACCCACATGATGTGCTTGAAGCCGAAGTCGTCCCGCAGCGCAACGTCGACGACCTTGATCGCCATGGTGATGAACTGCCAGCACTTGATGCAGATGTTGGCCTTGTCGCAACACGTCCTGATCTCGTCGTAGTCCGTCAGATCGATATCAAAACACAGCTCCTTGGCGAGGGGCTTGAAAGCGTTGGCGTTGCGGAGGGTTTTGCGGTCGCGCGGGTTGGTGCTGTAGACGGGGCCGATTTCGAAACGGGAGGGCATCAGGCGGAGGACGTCTTTCCGCAGGCTGGAAGAGGGTCAGTTCTATATCTCCGGTTGACCGAGGTGGGTTTAGAAGCTCACAGGTCGTGTGTTGCAAAGGATTGGTATCGTAGGTATGCGTCGTTCTGCAGCGTGAAGGCGAACTCTCTATGGCCAAAGTCGTTTGTCGGCGAGGGGCTGTGGTTCAGCCATTGGAAGAGATACCTCCAAGGAAACAGGCGTTGGTAGAAACTGCGCATCACCTCGGGGTCTGAAGCTTTCAGATCCGCAATGTCTCTGTACCCCACGTTAGCATGCGGCCCTCGAACGATGCCGGCGAACCCACGTTGGCGAGGGGGGCGTCGCGAGCCCTGGAGAACTCGACGCTGGCGAGTCTTGTGGTTTTGAGCTCGGAAACTCGTCGTCTGAGTCCCCGTCGATGAATAGGTCCTCCAACTTGACATCCTTCTTCTCCTCGGTGGCGGGCGCAGGCGCATCGACTTCGGCCATCGCGACGTCACCGTCCGTCGCCTGGCTGGCGGTGGGTTGGACTGGAGAGTCGGCCATTGCTTCGTCGGGGACCGCGATATCGTTGGATGTTGGATTTGCTTCCGGCGACACGGAATGAGGCATCTCTGGGTACTGGAGTGCTGTTGGAAGCGGGCAGTTTGCGATTTGCTCAGGGTTGTAAGTATCGCTTTCGCTGGGTAGTTTACCGGGGCAACTCGAAAATGCAGCCAAGGGGATGGGTTGCGGTCGCGTCCGAGACGCGTTTTCTCGCGTAAAGGGCCGAGATGGACTCCCCTGTTGCTTAGTCATTTTGGCGGGACAACGTCAACCTCATCCTTAATCTGTATCAAGTATAGGTAGAGATTTGTTTCTAATTAAACAAAGATAGTATTGTTTTCAGGCAAACGGAAAGACTATCCGTTTTCAAGCAAACGGAATTGATTTTTTATGTTCGCGTAAGCATATAGTAACGTAAACTAGGGCGATATTGCTCGATGTCAAAGCCTGTATCTCTTTAAATTCTTTCCGGATATCAAATCTGTTACTCGCAGCAGTGGAATTTGGCCCGAATCGCCAAAGTCAATAGAGACTCTTTGAGCACAAATAGTGCCATTCTTTGTTACGCTGCCTGTTCTATTGTGATTATCTAGGTAAAATGTTAATAGGTTTAACTACCGTGGTTATGATCCTGATTTTGCGCTCCTCTACTTCAAGTCACAAAATCAACTCTGCTTTCCTACTTAGGAAACAATTTCCCTCTGCTAATAATCTCGAATTGCACGACTTCATTGTTACTTTCCCGCTTCCAGGCACTATTTCTGGTGTTAGCGTTTTGTCGCTGCCGCTCTTTAAGCATAACCCTGCATTGCATAGCCGCCTTCTAACCCATGTGATGGTTATAGTTATACAATGATACTGCCAAAGTACTAAAAGTGGAGGCACCCCCGCTAAGGAGTACTTTGAATGCTGTTAAATACTCTGGCTACTTCAACACATAATGCGGCAAGCTTGGGCGTAGGAATCGCGGACACCCAGCTGGCTAAACTGGGTTGAGCATGACGCTCAAGTCTTACTGTCGACTGACCTGCATTTCCCCTCTTCATTAGGTTGTCTGACATGCATGGAATTAGGCTGCCATCCCACACTAACTCCTCTTTTGAATTCTCTCAGTGTCAAACACTGCCAGGAAATCCGTTACTATTGCACAACCCTCAAGAACAGCATTTTCCGATTGTCATCTTCATGGCCTCTCAGGCAGACCTGTACGAGACACTAGATCTTGAGCCTGTCAAACGGGAAATCCGTGTGCTCAGCCTCGGACCTGGGACTAACGACGACCCTTTAGAACTCGACCTGTCACGAATTTCGCTCGATGATAACCCTCATTACACCGTTTTATCCTACTGCTGGGGGTCTCAAGATGATCTACAGCAGGTCAGGATCGGCGACACGCCATTTCTCGTTTCCCGCCACCTCCATAGCTGTCTCATGAACCTTCGCCGAGAAGATTCTCCGCTCACGATCTGGATCGATGCGATTTGCATCAATCAGAATTCGAACCAGGAGAAGAACACCCAGGTCCCACTCATGAGAGACATTTACAAAGGCGCCACTGAGCTTTTCGTTTGGCTTGGCGAGTCGACGCCGGGGCTGGATCGCATTTTCAACTCAATCCAGAGGGTCTTTGAGCACAACATCGAAATCGAGCCGAAGGGCATCTCACAGGTAGCCGAAGAGCTTCTGCAAGCTTCTCCAGAAGAAACCGAACAGGCCTTCGTCGAGTTCGTCAACCGGCCCTGGTTTCGCCGCACATGGATCATCCAAGAACTCGCACTGCCCCGACAGGACCCCATCTTCATTTGCGGAAAGCATCGCACTCTTTGGACACACCTCAAGCGCTGGTGGGGCATCGCGGAATCCCTCAACCAAGCCGTCAAACAACACAGTACCCTGACTCTTCCCGTCTGGAAGAATCTGCACCACCTGCTCAACTTCCGCGCACTCGATAGGCTTGTTCTGCTACGGCAGCTGTTCGTCACCCCTAACATATCTAACAATGGCCTTCGCCTTTCTGCTTTGATCTTCATGAGCGAAGAATCTCTGGCGACTAACCCTAGAGACAAGATATATGGTGTCATGGGTCTGGCCAATGCCAACGTCAACGAGAAGATCGTGGTCGATTATGACAAGCCAGTCGAGGATATTTACGAAGAAGCCTCCAGATATCTGGTATTTGAAGAAGGAACCCTCAGCCTTCTGTCAAACCAGACCGTCAACATGACGCGAAACTCGACTGATGCAGGATCCGAGGCATACCATGAGTTTACTCTGAGTTGGGGTGCAAACGTCAATTCATCTTGGATACGCGATTTCGGACACATTCGCGCTCCCACACACAGACCAGACCCCTTGGTTAGGGACTTGGATTCACGCTGCTTGAAATACAACGCGTCACTGAACACGCGCTCAACGCCACATCCTGAGCAAAAAAAGAAAGTGCTTTCCATACTGGGAACGAAAGTTGACATAGTCGACGATCACGTAAGGGCGTGGTACGAATACCAAGGCAAGATCCAGTGGTTCACGAACATAAAAGGAGCTATGGGCGTCTTCTTGCGCGCAGGCCATCCGATTCCGGGGATCGATGGAGACGGTCTTGAGGGCGGATCTTCCAAAATTACCGAGATAGCAGTCGATCCTGAAGGTAAGGAAGCATGTCTTGTATACAACCCAAAAGGCGGGCCGACAAAACCACTGAAGGAAGCCATCTGGAGAACATTTGTCGGCGACAAGAGTTCGGATTCTTTGGACCCCGCCCCGGGCTACTACGAATTCTTCCTCGAAGGGCTTCTGGATGTGGAGAGCGGGAACCCGGACCCGAAGCTATCGATACCAGACAACGCCTTCCCCCCTGGCATGTCCGAGTTTGAGCATCATTGGACCCATTTCATGGAAAGGGTGCATTCGATGATGTTTCGTCGAGCCGCGTTTTCCACCAAGCAAGGTTGGATTGGATTTGGGCCTGATACAATGCGCAAGGGAGACGTCATAGTTGTGCTCTCGGGAGGAGACGTGCCCTTTGTGTTGCGGCCAATGCAGGACAGTTACATTCTGATTGGGGAGTGTTATGTCGAAGGCATCATGTACGGAGAGATGATCAAGGCCCAAATGGAGACACGCTCGGGCGGCGAGCAACAGGGTATCAAGGGTGAAGTTTTCCACATTCGTTGAATTTAGCTGCCATTGAGGAGTTATGCGGTAAACTCTTAACAGTGTCAGGACTGCAAAGGAAGCAAGTAGCAATAAGACCAGGCATGTACCACCACGGCGCTGGTTCAAAGCCGACGAAACCACCACAACAGCGTCGTAGCCGAAAGATTCGCCAAGAGCATGGATACTTTTGGGTACATAGAGTCCCGTAAGACACATGTGGAACTCGCATGGTGTTTTCGCAAACTGACACAGGTATCCTCATTACAACCAGTCCCATGAAATATGCATGTACTAGTATCTAAGAAATAAAGAATCCACAGACAGATTTTCAGGTCTCAGAACAGTTTATATGTTTCAGGAGCATTACATGTTGCAAGAAGTGTCACCAGGTCCATTTGAATCCACTTGTGCGTAATCAGAATTACGAAAGCCCGTTATACCTAAGCATGATCTCAGGCTCATTGAACCACAGCATTCTACAACATGTGCAATGCCTTCTTTTCCTGGATGGCTGTTTTCTAACATGGAAATACGAAAGTCGCTGAACTGGCATACTAGCGCATGCATACCCTACTGTTTTATAAGGGAATAAGATATATTCCCTTAATAAGCATATGTGTGGTGCAATATGTCAGGTGCCAGAGGTGGGGGGCACCAGGGGACCACCAGCTATAGGGCTATAACTAGGAAAACTATTATCTAAGGGTTATATAAAAGCAGAGTTTATAGGAACAAGAGAATTAAGAAAAAGTAGATTAAAAAATAGTTATAATTAACCCCTAACTATACTATTTATAGACTCCTTTACTTAGTACTATAACCCTTCTAATATATTTTAATCTTTACTTATCCCTAGGTATACTAACTATTAGAGCTATAATATTACTCTTTAACACTTAAGCTACTGCCTAGTAAAATATAAGTGTTATCTTTAGATAACTAACTCTAGATAGTAGTAATACCTAGGTATAAATAAAAAATAAAGGCCTACTAGTATAATATTAGCTCTAGAGTAACCTTAAAAAAATAATAAAAAAGAAGCTTAAGAACCTCCTAAAAAAGTAAATAAAAAAGCTAAAAAAAGAAAAATAGTTAACTAGATTCTAGCTTTAATAAATAAAGCCTTTATTAAAAAGGTATATAATATACTAGGCCTAGTTATTACTCTTTAGCTAAAATATAAGTGCTACTATATTAATATACTATTAAAGTAGTTATTTTTAATCTAATATAAAGAGAGTATATAAAATAACCTCTAGGACTTCTTATTTAAGCTAAGAGAATAGTTTAAAGTTATAAAAAAAGAATTTAAAAATAACTAAAGTAAAGTATAGTACACTAGCTTTATACTAGAAGATAACTTAGTATATAAGTAGTAAAGGTATATTAAAGCCTATTATAATAGCTAAATAAAGGGGGTAACCTAGGAGGTAATAAAGACCTAGTTAAAGAATAATATTATTAATACTAATATATAGGCCTTTAGTATAATAGTAAAGCTTAATAATATAAAGTAAAAAGTTAACTAGTTATATTAGTAATTTATTAATAAGTATAAGACTATTAAGGTAAAGTACTTTAACTTATAAGCTAAAAGGTAATAAGTAGTCTATATACTTAACTAGTTACTACTTAATCTAAAGAGCTATATATTAGCCTAGGGGATACTAGAGATATAATAAGCCTTTAATAATACTATATAATAAGCTAAGACACTAGCTAAAGCCTATACTAAAGATAAACTAGTAGACTAGTAGAGGTAGAATTAGGAATAGAGGGACTAGTAGGCCTTAGCTATACTACTAAACCTTAATATAAAGGTTCTTATAATAAAGCCTTAGTCTATATACTCTATATTTATATTTATAATAACCTAGGGTATATTAATACTAATACTAAAGGCCTTAAAAGTAAAAGAGGAAGAAAGTAACTACTTATTTTTAACTAGGCTATAATACTCCTTAACTTACTTTAACTATAGTAAGCTAAGGCACTTATTAGCTAGCTACACTAAAAAGAAGTACTATAGGTATAATTAACCTAGACACTTAGGTAGATAGTATATAATAAAAGTAATAAAGGTTAATATTATTTAATTACTTTAGAAGAAGAAGCTATACTACTAATTTAAGGTAGACTTTTATACTAAGATAAGTAGTATATAAAAAAAAAAAGTATTAATTAACCTAAGGGTAAATAAGAACCTTATACACTAGAGGATATTATATATAAAGAGGCTACTAGTAGTCTATAAGGAAAGACTACTACTATAAGGTATATAAGGAGGTAAGGCCTTAGACTATAGTTTAAAGAAGATAGTATTAAAAGTAAAATATAATATTAGAATATTAAAGATATAAAGCTATACTTTATAAGTAAGTAATATAAAAGAATATAATACTATTCTAAGAATTCCTTAAGGGTAAGTAGTAAAGCTTAACCTTAAGTAAAAAATAATTAGCTAGACTTATCTACTAAGTAAAGACTATATTTAACTTATATAAGGCTAAAGGGTAGTTAAGAAGGCCTTAAAGGATACTAAGGTAGTCCTTATAGACCCTCTTATAATCTAATACCTAAGGTATAGAACACTAGAGGGGGCACTAAAGATACTTACTTATATACTAAAAAAGGACAAAGGGGCTAGTAAGGCTAGTAATATAAAGGCTATAGTACTAAAGGAATATAGAGAATAAGCCTATATATTTAATATAGACTTAGTAATAAAACTAGTAAAGAATAATATATAAATATATATAATAAAATTAGAACTAAGTATAGTACTATTATTTAGCCTTATTTACTTACTAGTAGAAAAAAAACTAAAGAAGCTAAGGAAGTATATTAATAAATCTTTAGCTAAAGGCTAAATATAGCCCTTAAAGTTACTAGTAAAGGTACTAATCTTGTTTATACTAAAGAAAAAAGGTAAGCTTTACCTCTATATTAACTACTATAAGCTTAATAAGATTACTATTAAGAACTAAGTACTACTACCCTTAATAAAGGAAATCCTAGACTATTTAGTAAAAGTAATATAATTTATAAAGCTAGACCTTAAGAATATATACTACTAGGTAAAAATCTATAATAAGAATAAATAAAAAATAGCTTTTTATACCTACTATAAACACTATAAGTATTAGGTTATACCTTTTAGGTTAGTTAATATACCTATAATATTCTAATTTTATATTAATAATACCTTAGTAGGTCTAGTAAATATTATCTATATTATTTATTTAGATAATATTCTAATCTTTATAGAGGATAAAGAAAGCTATATAAAGGCAGTAAAAATAGTACTAAGCTAGTTAAACACTATAAGGCTATATATTAACCTTAAGAAGTACTCTTTTTATACTAAGTCTATTAGCTTCCTAGGTTTTATAGTATCTAATAAAGGTATTTTAATAAAATAAAAAAAGTAAAGATAATTACCTAGTAGCTACTACCTACTAGTGTATAAGAGATATAGACCTTCCTAGGGTTTATAAATTTTTATAGGTAGTTTATTAAGAACTATTTTAAGGTATATTCCCTTTTTACTAACTAACTATTTACTAAGGTAATAAAGAAGTAAGTAATTATAAAAAAGCTAAAGAGGCCTTTTATAAAGTCTACACTATATTTACTTATACCTTTATCTTATAGTATTTTAACCTTATATTACTTATTTAAGTTAAGATAAATATATTTAACTTTATAATAAAGGTAGTACTAAGCTAGCTTTATAAGAAAGCCTAGTGCCCTATAGCTTATATATTATAAAAACTCTAGAGAGTAAAGCTATACTATAGAGTACTAGAGGCTAAGCTACTTATAATTTAAGAAGTAGCTATATATTAAAAGCACTATCTCTTATATACTTAGTACTATATTATATTCTTAATAGACTACCTAGAGTACTACTACTTAATAGCTAAGCTATAACTTAATAGCTACTAAGCTAAGTTACTATAAGACTTTTTATTATTTAATTTTAAGATTAAATATTACTTAAGTAAAAATAATATAGTAAATAAGCTTTTATAAAGGCTAGACTACTAGCTTAGTAAAAAGAAAAAGAAAAGTATAAAGTATATTTTTAAAGGACTTCTTTAGTAAGTTTAAAAGAAGAGTAGTAATAATTAGGCGTAGTAGACTACTAGGTTAAGATATAGTAGCCCTAGAGGAACTTACTACTACCTTAGAAGAGAAAGTTACTATAGTATAACTAGAGGACAAGTAAATTTAGTCTAAAGAGTAGTAATAACTAAGGAGTTACTAGGCTAAAAGAAAAAATAAGTTACTCTAATACTAAGGTAGGCTTATAGTATTAAAGGGATATATAATAAAGATAAGGCTACTTATAGTGTTTTATAATAAACTATTAAAGAAGCACCTAAAGGTAACCTAAATAATAAAATATATAAAATAAATATTTTTCTAGAAATTAATAAGAAAAAATATTAAAGAGTATATTAATATATATACTATCTACTAATATATAAAACTAAGGCACTATTTACCCTATAGGAAACTAGCTTTTCTTTTATTACTTAACTAACTATAGGAGTAGGTTACTATAGACTTTATTACTAAGCTACTAAAGTTAAAAGAATTTAATAGTAAAGTATATAATAGTATCCTAGTTATAGTTAATAAGCTTATAAAGTATACTATTTACTTACTTACTAAGAAAACCTTAATAGTAGATTAGCTAGTAACCCTTTTAGTAGATAAAGTATTCCTTTATTTTAGACTTTTAACCTTAATAGTATTAAATTATAAGTCTTTATTTATAAGTTATTTTTAAGTAGTAGTATATTACTAGCTAGCTATTAAATAAAAGCTTAGTATAGCCTATTACTTTTAAACTAATAAATAAATAAAAAAATAAAACTAGAATATTAAATACTACCTCTAAGCCTTTTATAATATTAAGTAAGATAACTAAGTAAAATAGTTACTTATAGCTAAATTTATTTATAATAGTTTATAGTATAGTATAACTAAGGTTATACTAGTAGAGGTACTAATAGGCTATATACTATAGAGTATATATAATATACACTTAGTAGAGGTAAGACTAATAGAGGTCCCTAGGGCCTATAAGAGGGTAAAGTAACTATAAAGCTAGAGAACTATAATTAGTAGAATATTAAGGGTAGTTAATTAGGCCTATAAGAAGTAGTATAACACTAAGAGGTCTAATATAGATTTTAAAGTTAAAAAAAAAGTCCTTTTATTAGCTAAGTTTATTAAGTAAAAGAGACTATCTAAGAAGCTATTAGATAAGTAC